GCCGTGGCCCCCTCTCTGCTGCTTCCATGGGCACCAGGCCAGCTCAGCCACGCCAGCTCTGCCTGTGAGGTCTGCTTGCGGGAGCACCTTTCCCGATTTCAGGGCGACTGACGCTCCCAGGGGCCTGGACATGTATGAACTCGTAAGGGGAGCAGGGGGTGCGGTCAGGAGGAGCCCGTGCTGGCTTCCCGAGTCGCCCAGGTTGGGGTCCCGGGGAAGCTCCTGATATTTGGATGCAGGAGGCTGCTCCATCCCACCCAGCGCTGCGCCAAGGACCCCTGGCTGGCCCCTCGCTCCAAATCTCAAGGAAACGCACCGATTGTCTTCGTGGTGTGGTTCAGGGTGCCCTTCTCCGGTTCGTGCAGTCCCAGCTGTGTGACAGGTCCAGGAGGATGAGGCCGCGCGGACAGGGCCACTGTCTACATCCATCTTCTAGCACTGGGTTCTACAATTGCTGGGAGGGAGCTCCCTGCAGACCTGCTGCTCTGGGGTTCTGGGGGCCCTTGGTCTGCCCGTCTCTGCCTATTTCTTCAGGTGACCCACCTCCCAGCCCTTGTCCCCCTCCACCTTATGCTGGATGCTTGCCAGCTTCCCCTTTGTCCCTGTTGTGTCCAGGACTGAAGGCATATTTGGGGTTGGTTGTGACCGTGATTGTGAGTTATTGTCACAAAACTCATGTCTCCTAAAACAGTGTGGAAATGAATATCGCCCTAAAGGGAAGAACCAAGGCTGATTATCCGCAGCTGCTGCCGCCAGGGCTCCGGGGCGCCTTTGCTGTGCTGTTGCATGCGCAATGTGAGTTGTTACTGTGTGCGTACATCGTATGTCCTAGACGTGTCTATAACGTATATGTGTAATGTAAAGATATTATATAACATCCATGTTGATAGGTTAAAATGTTTCCTATGTATAGAAAGCTTCTTTATAGGACGGGGGGGCTCGGGGGCACCTGATGGGGTCCTGGGGAGGCGGGGTGTCCATGATTGCTGGGAGCGCATTGGGCTCTCTCTGGTCCATCCTAAATCCGTAGTGGGGACGAAATCAGTGAAGCCGGCAGTTGCTGACCAGGCCCGGAGGTTTGGGGCGATGCACGGGTGGCTGTTCACTCCTGGGCTGTCCTGGAGACCGAGGCCTGACGTCCTGCAGGTCTGAGCGCAGAGAGCAGGCTGCTGCCCCCCGGTTCCTGGGATGAAGGCTCGGCTGCCTGGGCGGCTGCAGGTGGTGGTCAGGGCTCTGTGCTCAAGAGCAGTCTGGCCGCTGTCCATTCGTGTGTTCAGTGTCTCACCAATAATTGTGGTGTTTTCTGAACATGTGTGTCCGTGAGGATCGCCGGGCAGCGTGAATGTCCAGGGCGCCGGGCCCTCCTGGAGCGACTCCTGCAGACTGCTGTGTGCACGTGTGGGAAGTGGGGTGGGCAGTGGGTCCTTATTTTTAAGTAACCCCCAGGCCACGCATGCAGTCTGCGGCCCATGGGATGGCCATGGCTGCTCCACGGTCCTCATCAGCACCCAGAGCGGACCCTTTCTTGGCCGAGCAGGGAGTTGAGGGCATTTGAGTAAGAAGGGAAACAAAGGCTTATCTTGGGCTCATAAAAATACGCACAAAAATTAAGCCCCCTCCTCTGTAACTGAGATGTTGGCAGCTTTCTGCTGAGACCCCGGGTGTGCTGGGCATGCACGTCCCACTCCTGAACCCCAGGCCCTCTGTCCAGCAACAGGTGCAGGGCGACTGCTGCGTCCTGACCGTTTCTTGGCCTGGCCCACTGTCCCTGGATCTCAGAACAGCTGGTGCCAGGTACCCCCTTTTGGCCTGAGCAGGTGTGGTCGAGACAGGTAGAGGGAGTCCTCCGGTCTCCAGACCACACAGCCCTCTCGGGGTTATGCACTCGGGGAGCTTCACAGCGAGAGTCTTGTCCCAGTCCTTCCAGAACCTTCCGTGTTGACCAAAGTCATCCCTGGAGGTGTGGGGTGAACAGTACCCTGAGTGTCCTGTCACACCTCACCCCTAAGTCCACCTGGAAGAAACATGAGGATCTTCTGCATCTGAGTCCATGGCCCCCTGAGGAGAGAACATTCTAGAAGCAGGGAAGGAGGTCAGGTAAGGGGTACCTGTCCCTGGCGTCCACCCCTGATAACTTCAGTAGATTGTCTTCCCGAACAGGAGGCCCGGTGGGATCTGCACAGATGGCCGCTCTGGACTCAGCTCTGAAGGGCCTGACCCTCAGCCTCTGTCCACGTGGGACCCCGGTTCTCTTCCTCAGGCTGTGGTGCCCGGCCCCTGGCTGTGCAAAGGGTCTGCTCCTGCCCCAAACCCCACTGTCGGGCAGATGCTGACCTGCTGGCTCCCTGGCTGCAGGGTATCTGCTTGTCTGGAGGAGTGGCCAGCCGGCCAGCTGGCAGGCGACCTAAGGGTGGTGATGTGGAGGACGAGACCCCGCCTGGCCATGTCCGAGCAGGGCCGAGGGCTGCCCGGGGCTTGCCGGCTCCCTCAGCAGATGGCCGGCTCCTCCCCAGGGGCCTGGACCCGGCCTCCCCTCGCAGGTCCCAGCCTGCCCACTCCTCCTCCTTCCCGTCTGGGAGGGCTGGCTCCTGTCGGGAGGAGGAAGTTTCGCTGCTGCCGTCTGAGGTCCCTGGCCTAGAATAGTGCTGGTTCTGACGTCAGGAGGCCGTCAGCTCGACGAGACTCAGACTCCTTGTCTGCCTGCCGTGTGGTGGCCGGAGCTCAAATCCCGGCAGATGTCCCGACGTCCCAGCTGGTGTTTTGGCGGGGCCCCGTGGGGCTCCCTACACAGGCCATTAGGGGCCAGCCCAGCCCTGGAGCAAAAGTTACAAGCAGGTTTTTGGGTTCCCCTGCTGTGGCTCCCCCTTTTATGCACATCTCCCCGCCTTGCCAGCTGCTCTTGAGATGCAGCCCTGAATCCTGTGACCTGACCCCTCTCCGGGACGGCTGCAGTGTCAGCTGTGTTCCACTTGCACCTGTCCCGTGGAGGCGGGAGCACCTTCTGACAAAGCTTTCAAGGGGAGATCCTGTCCAGCGTCTGCCTCCTTGGCCGTTCCCCAGCGCCTTCACACCGTTGCCGCTTTGCACAGTTTCCCGAGTTCACGGTTGCGTCCGCAGGGGCTTCGTCTGGTGCAAGCTGCTCCCCCACCTGGGAATCGGAACTGCTTTCTCTCACGTGGTTTTCATTCTCATTCCCTTATAACCAGCGTGGCTCAGCCTCCTTTCCCTCGGTTTCAGGCTATTTGGATGTCTTCCGTGAAACGCCTGTTCAATGCTCTTGGCCATTTCTCTACGGAACTGTGTGGTTTCTGTAATTGATTTGCAGGAGTTCCCTGCATATTCTGGACACGTTGTCAGTTGCATGTTTGTAGAAAATATTGGGACAGACTTTGAAATGGACCAAAGGTGACTTCTGTCTTCAGTGGGAAGCAAGGCACTGTCCCGCCCCCCCCAGGTGATGTGAGTGGCGGGGGCTCCGCCCTTTCCACCATCTTTGGGCTATTTTACAACTCTGTCCGTTGTAGAGAATCAAGGCCATGGGAACGCTCTTCTTGGAAGGATGGTTGACTCCTCCCTCTCAGGAGGACAAATCAGATGCATTTGAAAATGCCTCTATTCACAAGGTCCTTTAGCATTCTCGGTTCCACTACATCCACGAGGTAGTTTGAATTCTGCTTAGAGCTGGTTATAAGCCCTTAATTGCTGAGTTCAATGAAGTCTTTGAAATGTGTTCATTGTCTGTCTACATGAGATGGTGATCACACCATGATTTACAATCAGTCCTTTAACATGTTTCAAATGTCTTCTCCCACATGGGCCCATGTATCCTGGGCCCAGGAAGTTCTGTGACAGGGCAGGGACGCAGGTGACCTGGTGCTGAGGAGCAGAGCTGGGCGAGGCCGGGCACCCCGTTCCTCCAGAATCTGCGTCAGCTGCTCCCTGGGAAAGCCTCCCTCAGTCCCTTTGGTTGCGGGGCCTCTCAGCTCCCGGCACTTTCCCCCTATGCACTCATCATGGTGTCCTCACTTTGCTGTTTGCGGGACGATCTTCTTCGTGTTTGGGGAGTGGACGCAGGGGGAGACTGAGTGGCAGAGGCCGGCACAGACCAGGCCCGGGGTGGTGGGGAGCGTTCTGCTGGGTGCATTTGAGAAGACTGAGAAGAGGCCTGGAGCTCAGAGCTAAGAGAAGGGTGTGTAGGAGTTTGCGGGGTGTGTAGAGGGAAGGGACTGCGGCAGAAGGGAACAGCATGAGCAGAGACTCTGGGTGGGAGGCAGCGTGAGGGACCCGCGTAACCGATAGCTGAGTGTTCGGGACAGGGCGCTGTGTGTGTGTGTTGCTGGGACTGACGCCCCTGTTTGGGGCTTAATTGTGTCGTCCAAATTCCAATCTTGAAGCCCTGACCCCAGGACCTCAGAATGTGGCTGTATGTGGAGCTAGGGTCCTTCAAGGGGTAATAAGTTACAAAGGGGTCCATAGCGTGGGCCCTGATCCAATAGGACTGGGGTCCTTACAAGATAAGGGGTCAGGACGCAGACACTCACAGACGGAGGACGATGCGAGGACGTAGGGAGAAGAGGCCATCTACACGCCCCAGAGAGTGGCCTCAGGAGAATCCCCTGCTGACCCCCTGATCTGGGGTGTCCCGCCTCCAGAAAGTGTGAGGACAAATGTCTGGTGTTCAGGCCGCCCAGGCTGGTTGTTACAGCCGCCCGTGCTGACTAATACACACCCCACATGCGGTCCTTCCTCTGGCCTGGGCCAGTGCTGGACGCTCCTCCTGCCCGGGCCCGGGCTGGTCCTGCTCCCAACAAGGCCCGTGTACCCCCTCCCTCCTCATCACACCGTTTCCGGGCCGCCCTCCTCACCCAGGGAACCCTGGGGGCTGGAGAGCCGAGGGCAGGAGGGGAGGGAGGGCTGGAAGGCCATGGAGCTGTGAGGGTGTGGAGGGAGCCCCGATGCACGACTCGGCCAGGCTGTGGGTTCCACGAGGCGTCAACATGGGCAGTTATGGAATTTTCCAGGTATTTTATTGTTGTTTTAGAAAAAGAAACTGTAAAGGCAATCGATGGGCTACAGAAACTTCAAGAAGGCGAAAAGCTACCCAAGCTCCCACTGTGGGCTTTCCTTTGAGCCGTCTCTCTGCAGGGCCCTGGCAGGCGGGGCGGGGCCGCCTCTGCTTCCTGTCGGCAGCCGTGTCCTCCCCGTCCAGAGATGCTGACTTGCCCTTTGCTCAGAGACGTGAGGGGGCACTGGTTCCTGGGTTGGTGAGGTCGGGGGTCTCGTTGGGTCCACCTGCCTTGACTACCTGAGGCCCCGGCTCTCTCCTCGGTGTTCTTGTCTCTTCCCCACTGCCCCGTGGAGCAACTTGGAGTTCCTGTGGAAGGGGACTCGGGCCCCTCCCCATGGGGCCGTCTGGCTGGAGGCTGACCCTCCCCAGTGGTGCTACCCCCACCTGCCAGGGTTCCTGCCATGGCCATGGGTGCAGGCCCTCCTCCTAGCAGTCTCTTCAGGTGACGGTGATCCGAGTGACCGTGAGGGGCACATCGAGAAGCTTCCCTGCTGGTGGACGATGGCCCCGGGGCCTCCGGGCCTTGTGGCAGATGCTCCCACTCAAGGATCTGAAACCAGGTGTTTCCTCCTGCATCCAGGAGCCCAGCAGGGATGTGATTCACAGGAAGGCCTGTCCCTGCCCAGACAGCCACAGGAAGGCTGGCCCTCCACCTTCTCCAGGGTGACTGACACTGCAACCCTGGGTCTGTCCTGGTAAGGGACACTTGGCCCCAAGGCCTCAGCGTCCACATGGCCCTGGCCTTTTGTGGTGGCTGCTATGCAGGGGCCAGTCGTGGTCCATCAGCTGTGCTTGGGTTTCAACTCCTGTTCACTCCATTCTCCGCTGGCAGTCAAGGGGCAGGATGTAGCGTGCAGTGGCTGCAAGGCCAGAGGGTGCGGTGCAGGCCAAAGGTGGCCATAAGGTCAGAGGGTGGTAGGTCCGAGTCTGGCGAGGTCTGAAGGCAGAGGAACAGGTCTGCACAGCATGAGCTGCTGGATCTGGATGCTGGCTAACGTCTGGGGTGGCCTTGGACGCCCGCCGAGGTGAGTGACCCTAGGCCCCCTGCCCGATCATGTTCATATAGTCAGGGACGATCGTCCGCTTCAGCTCCACCACCGAGGAGAAGATCCATTTCACCTGCAGCGGGCGGGCCAGGGGTGAGCGTGGCCTGGACCCAACGCCGGCCTCCGCCAGGGCCTGCCTGCCCTGCACCCGGGCCACATGACGGTGGGCGGGCCAGGGGTGAGCGTGGCCTGGACCCAACGCCGGCCTCTGCCAGGGCCTGCCTGCCCTGCACCCGGGCCACCTGACGGTGGGGGTTAAAGGGGGGACAGCAAGGGGACAAAGTGGGGACAGTGAGGGGATAAAGAGGGGACATGGTGCAGTTAATGATGTGATAGCAAGGGGAGTGAGGGGACAGTGAGGGGACTGTGAGGACAGTGCAGTGAAAATTTTGGGACAGTCAGTGGTAATTTGGGGACAGTGATGGGATAGTGTGGTACAGTGTGGAGAAATTGAGGGGACGGTGATGGGACAGCAATGGGATGGTGTGGGAAGAGTGTGGGACAGTGTGAAAACATGATGGGGAGAGTGAGGGGACATGGTGAGGACCGTGTGGGGACAGCATGGTGACAGTGAGGGGGTGACATGGGGACGGCCTGGCCCACCTTAAAGAGGGTGACGGTGGCGCTGTAGCACACGCTGAGCAGGAAGAGCGTGATGAAGATGGAAATGGTGGTCCACAGCCCGTCCAGCTCCCCGTCCTGGGTCTCGGCACAGCTCTCATCCAGGACCATCTCTGCACAGGGAGGGGGTGGTCAGTGCTGTGCCTGCCCGAGGGGGCTGGGCAGGGTCAGCGGGGCCTCGGGGGGGTGATTCTCTCTGTAGTAGAGTGGGCGGGGCAGGTGGGATCCCTCAGCTGGGCTGGGCCAGCGGGTCCTGAGGTCAGTCTCTGTGCTGTAACCTCAGTCCCCCATTCCTCCAGCTGGGACCCCAAGTCTCAGCCAGTCACCCCTGACCCAGGACTCAGGCAGGCCAGTGGGGGACCAACTGTCTCCTCTGCTCTGCCTTGAGCTGGGCCCTCTGGCGAGAAGGCGCCCGAGCCCTGCAGGATGGAGGCTCAGGCCCCGCCTCCTCTCTCCTGGGGACCAGGCCCGAGGGCAGGAGGGTCAGCAGAGCCTGTGGCCCACTGGGCCTCTGCCCCAGGGAAGGGCTGAGACAGGATTGGATGTGTCCCCAGTGCATGAGCCGTGGGAGTGCTGGGGACAGCTGGGTGTGGGGTTTTCTGAGTGTTAGGGTGTGGGTTTGTGCCCTGGAGAAGTGTAGGGCTGGTTTTCGGAGCTGGTCATGTGGTCAGTGTGAGGACAAGCACTGGGCAGCCCACCGGGTGTGGGAAGGGGTGGGGCCATCTGGTGTCCAGGCTGAGGGTTCAGGAGACGAGGCTCAATGCTCTGTTGGGCATGTGCAGATTGCCCTTGTGTGAGGCCCCAGTGTGCAAGGCCAGGTCTGTGTGCGTGTGTGTGGAGCTGGTGTGTGGGCTGGCACTGCTCAGTGAGAGGAGCTGGTTTTCAATGGCTGTGGGCTCAGTATCCACATGGGAGTGAGGGACGGCCCCTCCCCGGGCACTCTGGGCCACCTCTTCGCCCCTTGGGGATCGGGAGTGTTGTCCCCTTGAGTAGATAGGCCTGGCCCCAGGCAGGACAAGGTCAGGCAGAGCCCCCTCACCTGAGGGAGGGTGAGGGCCTGATCTTGGAGTGCCCGAGGGCAAAGGAGGGCCTGTCCCCACACCACGGGCCTGCAAGCCTCTCGTGCGGGCCAGAGCCACCAGGCAGAGCTCTCGAGTGACTCAGTGGACAGGGATCCTGGGGGACAAGGATGGGCCATGGTCCCACAGCTCGGGCTCCTACAGAGGAGAAGCATTTCCCTGATGGCTCTGGAGGGGCTTCTCCTGTTCCCTGGCCACCCTCCAGCCCCGAGCTGCTGCTGGCAGGAGGGCGGCCCAGAGGAGCTGCCGCCTCTGACGAGGCCCTTGCCCGCTCGGCAGCCCCTCCTGCTCTCCTGGGCGGCCTGCACAGGTTCCCACACCCTGGGTCTGATCTGAATGGGACCCACTCTCTGTAATAGTGACAATGTGGCCTTGGAGCCTGGCTGCCCCGCTGCCTGCAGGCCTGGCCAAATGCCAGAGCTCTGCCTCAGAAAGAACCACGACCGCGTCACAGGGTCCCAGGGCCATGCTGGGTGCTTTATTTCATGCTGGGTGCCCGGGAGGTATGTACACAGGGGTGGGGGCTCAGGCGTCCTCGCGGGTCCCGGAGAGCCTGTGGGGAAGGAGGGACAGCTCTCCGGGTGCTGGGCGCGTGGCTCATTTACCCGGAGACTTGGTGATGCTCTTCTGCCTGTAGGTATGGCGGATAGCTTCGTGCATCACCACACACGTGAATGACTCTCCCTGCTCCCACCTGTCCGTCTCCACAGTGAGCTTGCTGTACAGGAAGTAGGACCCGTCTCCATCCAGCTGGGCTGGGGTGGTGCTGTACTTGACCTCTGGCTCTGGCTCCTCGTTACTCTGCCACTCGACGTTGATGTCAGGTGGGTAGAAGTCCTTGACGAGGCAGGTCACGCTGACCGTGTTCTTGGTCACCTCCTCTCGGTGTGGGGCCAGGATGTACACCTTTGGGTCCTGAAGCTCTCCTGTTGGGTAGGGGTCAGCACAGATGGTCACTCCCTGGGTGGCCCCGTGGCATGCTCCCCATGCTTGTCTGCCCTGCCCTCACCTTTGGCCTTGGTGATGGTCCTCTCGACGGGGGCTGGGAGGGCTCTGTTGTTGACCTTACACTTGAACTCCTTACCCCTCCGCCAGTCCTGGTGCTGGATGGGGAGGACGCTGACCACGCGGTAAGTGCTGTTATCCTGCTTCTCCTTCGCCTTTGTCGTGGCTGTGTGTGCCTCCACCCCGTCCACGTACCAGTTGAACTTGACATCGGGGTTCTCCTGGCTCACGTCCACCACCACGCAGGTGACCTCGGGCGTTCGGGAGATCATGAGGGTGTCCTTGGGATTCGGGGGGAAGATGAAGACCGAAGGCCTTCCTAGGAATTTAGAATCTGACATGGGAGACATGGTGACAGGGGATCAGTTCCTGAGCGGGCCTTCTCTCGGGTCCCCCATAGGCCACACCTGTGCTCGGGCCAATTCCTGGGGGTAAAGGATGAGGCTTGGCTGACTCACCTGGACATTTGGGGCAGCAGCAAGGCTCTTTTATGACTGCAGAGAGAACAGACGGGGGTTACTGGGCCTGGAGGGAGACAGCCCTGGGGTGAGCTGACGTCAGGGCCAGGTTTTGGCAGGTCTGAGACCAGCATGCCTCCTGTGGCCCGAGGGGCTGGGTTAGGGCTGTCCAGCCTGCCCCTGCTCTGGGCAAGGCAGAAACGCCCAGAGGACCCCTCCCTTTGCTCGGGAGGCCTCCCCTGCTGCCCTGGGGTCCAGGCAGGAGGGCAGAGCCTGGCCTGTCTCGCAGGAAATGCCCTCCCTGCAGCCCCTCCTCTCACCGATTCTCTTGTCCACCTTGGTGCTGCTGGCCGGGTGGGCTACGTTGCAGATGTAGGTCTGGCTCTTCAAGCTGCTGGCAGGCACGGTCACCATGCTGCTGAGGGAGTAGAGCCCCGAGGACTGCCGGACAGATGGGAAGGTGTGCACGCCGCTGGTCAGGGCTCCTGAGTTCCAGGACACGGTCACCGGCTCTGGGAAGTAGCTGGAGACCAGGCAGCCCAGGGCCACCGTGGAGTCAGATGTGCCCGCAGAGTGTGAGGCCAGCTGGAAGACCTTCGGGGGCGTGGTGGAGGCTGCAGGAGAGGAGGCATGTTACACCAGGGCCTTCCCCTGTGAGGGTCCGGGGAGGGCGTCAGGTGCCCAGGCCTGAGCACTGCTGAGTCCAGCGCCTATGTGCTTCCGGATAGTCTTCAGACTAAATGCCCTGCGTGGCTCTCTGTCCCCCAGCGCTGGCACCTCTGCAGCTATGGGCTCTAGACTGGTCACCCACTCAGCACTGGTTGACCACCTGGATTAAAGCCCCCAGGGCCTCTTCCCCTCGTCCCTGCGCAGGCCGCATGCTCCTGTCTGAGCCCTGACCGGAGGCCCCTCTCCTGGCCCTCTTCTGCTGGTCCCACAATCTACTCCTGTGGCCCCAGCCTGGCCCTGCCTGGAGCAGTGGCCCCTCCTCAGGTGTGGTGGGCCTCTGCCCCACATGCCTGTGTCGGCTCCTGGCCCTCAGCCCGGAGCCCTCATCATGGCCTGTCTGCTCGCCAGGCCCTGTGTCTTCTGAGTCGGCTCTGCAGTCACAGCACCATGAGTGCTCATCCCCGACCCTCCCCGAGCCTGCTGTGTACCCGTCCCCTCCCTGGACCCCGTCCCCTCCCTGGACCCCATCCCTGTCCTGGACCCCGTCCCTGGGAGTCTCCTTGTCCCCCTCCCTTCCTGTCTCTGTGGGCCCCCAGCCCAGACTCTTGCGTCTGCTTCTGGGCCCCCTCCCTCCTCAGGTCCTCCTGGCCCGGCTTCCTGAGCTCACCTCCGGCCCCTCCCTGCCAGCGCCACCTGCCCTCCGCCCTCCCTGCTCTTGGGCCTGTCCAGCTCCTTGCTCACTGCAGAGCCCTCCTCCAGCTGTGGTCCTTCCCCAGCACAGCCGGCCCCTGGGCGCAGGTGGGAGCCCTGCACTGCCCTCGGCGCTCCTCTCTTCTCGGTGCCAGCCTCCCCAGGCCCCCCTGTGGGCCAGGGTGCAGCTTCCAACCCCAACAGCCAGGCCCGGCCTGTCCCCTCCTCCCCTGAGTCCTGTCTGCTCAGCCCCAGGGCCCTGCCTGGACTCTCCCCAGGCTGGCAGCACTGGCTTAGGCCCCAAGGGGACCCTCGCTCTTCCCTCTGCCATGTTGACAGCCATGTGCCACCCCACACTGCTTCTGCACGTCTACCCCTCCTGTCTCATATCCCCACAAGCCCCTGGAACAGGGCTGGTGCCCCTGGGCCCTGGAACTGCATCTCATGCTGTCCCCTCAGGGATGCCCCCAGCCCATTCAGCCCCAGACACCTTCCATCCCAGGGTCACCTCTCTATCCCAAGTCACCACCCACCCGGCCCTCTACCAGCTCACACTCTCCTCTTGGCACAGGGAGCTCCACTTGAGCCCTGGGAGCCACCTGCTGTCTCTGCTCCTTGTACCTACTTTGCTCCTGCCTCTGCAGGGCCCTGTTTACCTCAGGCCATCTGCCTCACTGTCCCTGGAGATCCTGGGCTGCCACCCGCCCCTTCTGCCAAGCTCGGCCTGGCCTAATGTAGTTACAGCGCAGCCCCTTGCCACTGGCCCTCCCACCTGCCCCTGCTCACCTGTAGCTGCCCTGCCTGCTCCCCTGGAGCTCCAGGACAGCCCCCTGCCCCTCCTGCCCTCCCACCTGCCCCTGCTCACCTGTAGCTGCTCTGCCTGCTCCCCACCGAGCTCCAGGACAGCCCCTGCCCCTCCTGCCCTCCCAGCCTTCTGCTCACCTGTAGCTGCTCTACCTGCCCCACTTCATCTCTTGGGGCCGTCTACTGCCCGCTTGTGTCCTTCTACCTTCCCCTGCTCACCTGTAGCTGTTCTGCCCCTCATTCCTGGAGCTCCAGGTCCACAGCAGCGTCCTTCCTGCCCTGACCTACAATCCCTTTCCCACAGCGCAGGTCCCTGAGCTCAGCCCCAGGCTGCTGGGTCAGCCCAGGGCTGCCTCTGCCCCTCCTGCATCTCCCAGCGCCCTTGGCCCAGGTTTGCCCTCCATCCTGGGCACAGTCCTTTCCCAGCACTGGGCTTTGCCTCCTGGAGCCACCTGGTGCCCACATTCTCTCTGGCCAGCTCTCCCCTGGCAGAGCCCTTCCTGCCCTGGTGTCCTCCTGGAGGAGCTCCTGGCCCCAGCCTGGCCTCACCCTCTCTGCGCCCCTCACTGCCCTCAGAAGCCCCATCTGGAAGCCCCCTCGGGAGCGTGCTCTCTCCGTTGCTGGGTCATCTTGCCTTGCCCACCAGCTCCCAGCCCTGCAGCCCAGGCTCCTGCTCTGGATCCTCACTGCCTGGCTTCTGATGCCCCACCTGTAACCACTGAGCTCCTGCCCAGCACTGTGTGATCTGAGTGCTGAGCACACAGGAGCCCCCATTGGTCCCTTGGGCTCTGCTCCTGGCTCACCTGCTGCCCTCGGTCCCAGTCGTAGCCCAGGACCCTGCGACTGCCCCCTCAGGCCCTGCCCTGGAGCTTGAGTCAGCTCCTAGGCCTGGACAGGACCCTTAGGCCACCTGGAGGTCCTCTTCCTCCCCTGCTCTGAGCCAGCCCCCTCTCTGTGCTCAGACCCATCTGTGCATCCTGGCGTCCATGCTGCAGCAGCTCAGCTCCTGGCTGGTCCTGCCCTCAGCACAGCTGGCCAAGCGCAGCCCTCAGGCTTCTGGCCTCCAGCCCATCACATTCCTTTAAGGCCTTGGGTCCTCCCGCCCAGTCGACATCCCTGGTCTCTGCTGCGTCCATCTCTGTTGGTGTGGGCGCATCTGCTAATGGCTCCATGGTGCCTCTGTTGGGGCGGCACTGTGGCCCGTGGGCAGCCTACTCTCCCTTGTGCTGGCTCAGCTGCTCGAGCCCCTCAGAGTCGTCCCTGGGTGCCTGGGCTCCCCGCAGCTCCTGTTGCCTGCTCCAGTGCCTCCACTCTACTCCCTTCCCCCCGCTCCGTGGGGACCCCACTCACCAAGGGTTGGGGCCATGGAGGTGGCTCCTGCATGCCCAGCCTGGCTCGCTGAGGAGCCCCCTCCCATCCCTGCTCTAGCCCCAGGCGATGTGGCTCCTCGTGGCTTCGTGCTCTGTGTCCACTGCTGCTTACAGGAGTTCATAGCCGGGTCCTGGAGGTGTGAATGCCCTCTCCACGACCCTGCAAAGAATAAGAATGGGTCTGAAAGCAGGGCGCACCGCTTGCTTCCTGAAGTTCTCTTTTCTTCTGGGTAGTTTCTGTGTTAGAGAGCCTGGGGGGAGTACAGACGAGGCCGAGGCTGCCTCACGTGGGTGCGTGGGGGTGGTGTGAATTGATGCCAGGGTCCCAGGGGAGAGTGCAGGAAGCCTGGGCTCATGTGCCTCTCTTCGCTCTCTCCCTCCCACAGGGATTGTGCCCGACGGCCCCAATGCAGGCAGGGGCATCTGGGCCTCTCGCCTGAGCCCTCTGGTCCCCATACCCAGAGGACACCTCCCCCTGCCCCGGTCAGCATGCAGTGTGGACACAGGCTGACCTGCTCACAGCCCGCAGCCCAGCCCAGGGCCTCATCCTGTCCTCCCGCCAGGACAGCCCCCCGAGTAGAAAGCCGTCTTCCTCTGGGTCCCTGCCTCTTCCCTCTGTCCCTCTCTGGCTCCATCTGTGGCCGAAATTCTGACGGAAGGCTGGTAGCACCCAGGGTCCCAGGGAAGCTTTCTTCCAGGCACAGCTGTCCTCTGGGGACAGACAGAAGTTATGTGCAAGGACAGAGTCCATGGTGGTCCCTGGGACCCAAAGGTCTCCTCTGTCAGAGAGAGAGTGTGCTGTCCCTGTCCTTCCATGTGTGCTCCAGGACCCAGCTGTCTGTGTGTGGGGGGATGCAGACCCTCAGTGTCTCATGACTTGCAGTGCCTCGGCACACCCAAGGCCCTGTGTGCACCCCTGGGCCATCTCGTATTCTCCACGTTAGGCCTTGGATCGGGGACCCCTGGGGGGCACAGTGGTCCCCACCCCCGAATTGCCAGGGGCCAGGACTGGATGAGACTGGACATGAGGGCGGGCTTGGCTCCTTCCAAGGTTGGTGGGCGGGGGCTTGTACTGTGACTCCTTAGGGTGGCCAAGAGCAGAGTCCAAGGCTTTAGGAAGTGAAACTTCTAGGAGGCCCCCTCAGATGTAGAAGGGGAATTGGCCCTCCCACCCATTGCTATCTGTCGCACTTTTTGGCCACGGGTGTCCCCAGAGCCACCCACGTCCTCCAATGGTCTCCTCCGGGTCCCTCTGCCTCCCCTACTGTCAGATCCTCACTTTCCACAGTTGGGGTTTCTCAGAGCAGCGCCCATGTCCAGGTCCCATATCCTGTCTGGTGGTTCATGGGTGTGCTGTGGGCCGCCCCACAGCGAGTGGCTTCTGCAGCTACTCTGCTGGTTTGCTCCTGCGTTGATGGCCTGCAGGCAGCTCCAGGCTCTGTGGGCGGGGGCGCTCCTCTCTGCTCCACTCACATCAATGAGGGGCTTGAAGGCTCCACCTGGAGTCTGGCGCCTGGGCTGGGTGGATGCCCTTGTTCCCCTCTATCTTCCTGATCCTTCCGTGGGGATTCCCTACGCTGAGCGGTGCCCGGGCCTGACTCCCAGGAGGAGCCCTGTCTCCTTAGGTCCTGCTCTCAGAGACCCAGCAGTGGTCCCTCAGTGGCCCTGTCCTCATGGAGGCCGTCACATGGGTACCCTGGGGTCTGGTGAGGGAAGTGAACCTCTGCATGGGGCAGGGCCAGGTGATGGAGGAGCCTGTGGTCCTGGGAATGTTGCTGTGGACACCCAGAAAACGCCGTCAGCAGCAGCCTTGGTGAAGGGAGTGCCCTCTGGTCCCTCCGGGATGAATTCATGATAATCCACCTCACACTCCCGGCGGCTCTGGCCCGGCCTCCTCTCCGTGGTGCCCACGCAGTTTTGCCATCTCTCCCACGGAAGGCAGCCTCCCTCAGTCATGGGCTCAGCATGCTGTGAGCATCGCTGCCGTTACATAAGAAGCACGTTCATCTATGTAATTTCTGGTCAGGAAATGTTGATGCAAATAGTCCATAGTCAATGTATAAATCAAAATGGGGGAGAGTTTATTACATGAGCCAATCTGAGGGCTACATAGCCCAGGAGAACGACCTTCCCCAAGGAAGGAAGCACTCGGGAGCAGCCGGGTGTACAGGGAACATACATCACATATGACAGGAATATCCCTTTTTCTAGCGTCACAAGATGGTTTCCCAGCACAGCAGGTCAGTGGCCATGAGAAGAGCACAGATGGTCAGTCGTGAACCCTTAGTTTCTGGGAAGAAATGCTCATCTATAAAGAAATGCCGATATTGGGGGCATATCTTTAAGGGCATCATTCTCACCTTTGACGCACCATAAATGTTTAAAGCAGATGTACAATGCATGCTTGACAGGCCATGGCAGGCCTTTCCATAACACCAAGGTCCAGTGGAATTAGGTTTAAAACAAATGACTTTCTCATATACCTCAATATATTAACTTTTCTTATTGCTTTTCATTTGTTATTTTCCCTTTTGAATTAATAATGTTTTGATAGAAAGCATTGATGATCAAAATATTGTCTCTTGGTGCCAGAGCGGTTGCTGCCTGCCGTGGGTCCATCGTGTCCCTTGATACTAGGCCTCTGTCTCATTGATTTGCCCTGTTATCCATGTTGGGGGAAAACAGTCAGATGAGTGGACGAGCATAGAGGTACATATTAGCAGGGGATGCATGTGACAGGTTATGTAACCTTTCAGTAATTTTACATTTTTGCACAAACATTGCACATGTGCTTTTACATGAGTCCTTATGCTTACATTGTTTACAATTATAGAACAGGTACAGTAACAATCATGATGACTGAATATTTGAAATGATTATTTTACAAATGATATTTTAGGCATAGTCTTACCAGAAGAGGAGATTCATCCAGGTTTGTAAGATCTGTCAGCCACCTCAAGTCGCTGGACAATCGTGGCTCAGGCCTGCATGCCAGTCTTACAGCACTGAGTAAGGGACATGTGATTAGTTTGAATATTGTGACTACTACAAGAATTTCAAGGAGTACCAGAAATAGGAATTGTAATCTGGATGTCAAAAGGGAAGCAGTACCTGAAGGGAGTCAATCAAACAAATGCAGACTGGGGGTGGGGGTCGCTTAAGGCATTCACCTGCTTTTCCATGTGCTTTAGCAGAGTGGACACATTGGAAGATTCATCAGGTCTAAAAACAGCATTCAGTTTGAATGAGTGCACATGTCCCACCTTGGGATGCTGTTAGACTATCTAAGGCCATTCTAATTGGAAGGACAGCCCTTCCCACTAAAGACATTTCAGTATTTTATAAGGCTATTCCAGGTTGACTACCATTAAGGGGTTGTTGAGTAAATTTAGTCAGAGCCTCTATGTGATACGATGTCTTCTAGCCCCAAGGAAGGAAAGAATATAGCCACTAGATGATCATACCAGTGGAATAGTAAATGAGTCCATCTGGCCATAAGGAGAGGAAGATCAACAACAGATGTTGGCTCAGGGCAAATCCTTCTCTGCATCCATTAGAAGCCCATGGTGCAGTGTCCTAGCCATCCGGGTGGTAGCCAAGACCAGAAATTTGATCACATAGCAATTGAGTTCCTTTAGGAGACTGCCAATGAATGCCTGGCCCATGAGACCAGTCTGTTCCAAACCAATCACTTTCCTTACATATGATAGTGTTCTCACATGACTTGGGCAATAGGCATCCCACATTTGCGTCCAACTTCCCATAGTTTTCACTGTAATAGCTGTTTTTTTGTTTATCTGAAAATTGTTGGGATAATTGGATGGTCTGAATAACAGAAAAAGAGTAGCCATGCCTGGGATCATTAATAGGATGGGCTATTGGCATGTGTCAGGATCATAATTGGTAATGTTGGATGAACTTTGCACACCAGAACTAGATCTTTCCATCATAATAAATTGCTTTAAGGCTTTCCGTTCATACCTTGAAAGAGAGCAACCAACCAAGGTACCCAAGATGTATTAGAAAGGGGAAGTTGGCCACATATCCAACAACTGGACTGATTTTTGTGTGTAGCAAAGGAATGTGAGCATTGTAAGACATTGCCATCAGAGGCCCATTCTGATGTGGATTGAAAAAACAAACATAGTATCAGGAAAACCTTAAATGGCATTTTTGTGTTTAATTAAATGATTTTGAAATTAGGTTATAATCTATCTTATAGATTTGGAGGGGAAGAAAGTAAAGTATTGCATAGGGAACAGTTGCAAGAGTTTAAATGAGGAGATATAAGGTTGGGAATACAGGCCTGGTCCGCAGTCTTGGGACATCTGTCTACAACAGATCCATCTTCTTCTCATCCTGTTGTGGAGGGATTTGTCTTGGTCAGTTGAAGTCAGTGTCAGAAATAGGAGCTGAAACCCACACAAGTGGAGAAGTCCTTTTTAAAAACGAGAACTGTGAATCCACGAGTCTATGCCTCTTAATTTTGCTGTGCAAGATTGGTTAAGAGTACCTGGTGTGGTCCTTTCCAACCAGGTTGCAAAGAGTCTTTTTCAGGTGTCTTTTCCAATAAGGGAAATCTCCAGGTTGTAGCCCATGACCCTTAAGGTCTTCATCTCCTGGGAGCTTTGTCTCCTGCTGTGAAAGGAGTCAGCTACCGATGTTTCATGTCTTTTAGATGTATGAATGGCTACCAACCTTTCTTTCTTTTAAGTGCCTGAATGAGACCTTGACAATAATGTCAGATATCTCCCTTGAGCAAAGGTGGATCACACATTCCCTCAGGTAATTGCATAGTCATCCTGTTATTGTTTCAAAAGGAGGCAGCCGATATTTCCCAAACTGTGTAGATCTAAGGCCGTGGAGCTCCAGCAGAAGAGGTTCTGACCATGAGGGACGAAATGCTTCCCAAAGCTTTTCAAACTGAGTTTTGATTGTGCTGTTAGTTAAAATGTTGCATTGTTTGGCCAAATCTCACAAATAGATTTCATTATTTGTCTTGCAAAGTGAGTTCCCCGGTAACTCAGTAGGAATTCCCCAAACAGGAATTGTCCTTTCCAATAATAATATATCTACTGCTAAAGCCATTGCTCTTCTACAAGGAAAAGCACCAACCCGATGTGAGAACACACGGATCATCACTAAGACATTTACATCCTGGAGATGGTGGCATGTGGACAAAGTCCCATGGCCATACCTCAGAGGGTCCCTTAGGAAGGGGAAAGTTGGTTTGT